CATATAGTTCAATGGAAGGTAATCTTGGAATTCTACTCTGATTTAATGTTCACAAAAAAAGCACTTTTGTAAATAGAGTTTTTAAAAAAATATAAACAATTTCATAATGTTTGAGATAGGCTGCCTAGACACCATGTGATTTAGGTTATAACATTTAAAATATACATGGGCTCTGCAGAGTTAAATGGATAATATGAGTATGTTTTGGAAAAATCAGGGTAATTTTTGCAAATCTTCTCAGTAACTGAGGACAAATTCAATTTATGTTAACAATCACTGGTATCAGCCAACATGCCATCTGTTAACATTTGTGGCTGGATCCATTATCTACATTGTTGAGAAACAAACCATCCCCAAACAACTTTTATTCAGCTCATGATTCTGTGGGTAGGCGCTAGGTAGTTCTTCTGGTCTCAGCTGGACTTTCTCATGGGTCTGAGTTTCCTGGGCATTCTCACTGGATTCTCACATCTCTGCTCCAACTGGGGCAACTGGGCTCACAGGCTCTAGTCCACATGGTCTCATCCTCCTGCAGTCTAGTTCTGGCTTGTTCACACGGTGAAGGCAGAGTCCCAAGAGAAAGAATGAGAGTGCAAGATCTTTTGAGTCCAAGGTTCAGCACTGGCACACTGTCACTTCTGCAGCAGTCTGTCGGCCAAAGCAAGGCCCAAGGCCAGTCCAGTAGATTCCACCTCTTGATGGGAGGAGCTGCAAAATCTCATTGAAAATAGAGTAGATAAAGGAAAGAAAGGACGGTGGCCAATTTTCTACCTACCACAATGTCTCTGAGATATTTATTTATTTAATTTTTTATTCATTTTTTAGTTATTAGTTTACTGAGGTCACGCTGGTTTATAACATTGTGCAAATTTCAGGTGTACATCATATTTCAGCTTCTCTATAGACTGCGTCGTGCTCACCACCAAAGTCTAGTTTTTATCAGTCACCATACATACGCGCCCCTTTACCCCTTTCACCCTCCTCCCACCTCTTTCCCCTCCAGTAACTACCAATCTGTCCTCCTTATCCATATGTTTGTTTGTTTGTTTATTTTCCACATATGAGTGAAATCATATGGTATTTGTCTTTCTCTGTCTGACTTATTTCGCTTAGTATAATACTCTCAAGGTCCATTCATGTTGTTACAAATTGCACAATTTCATCTTTTTTATGGCTGAGTAGTATTCTATCATACATATATACCACATCTTCTTTATCCATTCATCCATTGATGGGCACTTGGGTTGCTTCCAAGTCTTGGCTATTGTGATTATTGCTGCAATGAACATAGGATGCAAATATCTTTTTGAATTAGTATTTTCATGATCTTTGGATAGATACCCAGAAGTGGAATAGCTAGATCATATGGTATTTCTATTTTTACACTTTTGAGAAATCTCCATCCTGTTTTCCATAGTGGCCGCACTAGTTTGCATTCCCATCAGCAGTATATGAGGATTCTCTTTTCTCCACATCCTTTCCAACACTTGTTATGTTTTGTCTTTTTAATAGCCATTCTGATGGATGTGAAGTGATACCTCATTGCACTTTTGATTTGTATTTCCCTAACAATTAGTGATGTTGAACATCTTTTCATGTGCCTGTTGGCCATCTGTATATCTTCTTTGGAAAAATGCCTATTCATATCCTTTGCCCATTTTTTGATCAGGTGGTTCATGAGATATTTAAATATGGCTTCTATTACAAAGCTCGAGGCTAGCTAAAGGTAGACTTATTCCATATTTAGTGTCATCTTTAATTTCTAGAGCATCTTAGCTTTCTCCATTTATATGCATGCATCCTGTACTGCATCCAAGTATCTGGACAGCAAAACCTATCTGTGTCTGCCATCTTTCTCTGTCCTACAGTGCCAAGTTTTGCACAAAGTTCCAAATAAATTAAAAAATATACACTACTACTTTATCAATATCACTTCATCATATTAGATACCAATATTGCAGATGTTTTTAATCTCCAAAATATTACATAACTTTTGTATAAATGACATCTGCTAAAAAGTTCATGATTTGAAGCAAAATATTCTAAAGATATAATTCATTTGTCTGAAGATTAATTCTAGAACAAACTATAGGGCCGGCCCCATGGCTTAGCGGTTAAGTGCGCGCGCTCCGCTGCTGGCGGCCTGGGTTCGGATCCCAGGCGCGCACCGACTCACTGCTTCTCCAGCCATTCTGAGGCCGCGTCCCACATACAGAAGGACGTGCAGCTATGACATACAACTATCTACTGGGGCTTTGGGGGAAAAATAAATAAATAAATAAAATTAGAACAAACTATAGTGACTTACCAATATACTTAGCTTACTAAATTATCATAAGCAGTGGATACACGAGCCAAGTAAAAATTCACCATGTTGATTCAATATCACTCAGGAACTGTTTGCACAATGGTTGATAAATCAAATGCTCAAACAGATGTAAAGTCTATCTACACAGTGCCCAGTAAACTAGTCAGATGTATTTCTAGATTTGTTTGTTTGTTTTTACAGGTGACAAGCTCAACAGAGTTTTCACATAAAATCAATGTAAGACACCACCTTAGAGGACTTGGAGTTATTTCCTATGAACCTAGCTTATAGGTGACGGCAAATTTTGTTAGAAAGTTCTAACTGTTTTCTGTAATCTAATATTTATCATTACTCACAACGTAGTTTACATTAGGATTCACTTTCCCCTGCGAATTTGTGCTTCGTTTCTATTGACTATAAATCTGTTTGTCAATTCTAAAATGGTCCCTTTCCAATTTACTAACTTTTGTAAAGAAATAAAATATGTGTTACATTGCATAATATGCAGGAGCAGGTTGCAACCAGTACAATTATCTCAACAAATAATGTGTTGAGGATACAGATCTTCAGCCACATCATCATATACATATATATTAATGTACATTAACACATGTTAATTTAAACCATATGAAAGTTGCTATTTCGTAAGGCATAAATGAATGAATAATATCAATTTCACAAGATCCAATTTAAAATCTTTATACTCTAATATATACACACATATATACACATATATACTCATATCATTTAACGGTGGTGGGAATAAGAGGAAGACCAAGAAATTTATAAATAGAAGGTGTCCAGATACTAGCCCAAACAATAGAAATATAGGTCATTGCTTTTTGAGGTTTCCTGTGACAAATGTACACATAGAACATATTTTAAACTGATTATTTTGCCCTTCATTTGTAGATAATCTTTGCAAGCAAGTAACCAGCTAATGGATTTTAAACAGTTTTTTCTTTTTGTAATGGAACTATTTGTTCAAATGGAATTTGTGCTGCACTTTAACCTATGAAACAGGATAAAAGTGGACATATCTTGATAGAAGTTGGAAAGCCGAGTCCAAAAACGTTCAGGTGACACATGACATATTTTACAGTTTGAGTAGAAGAGTATGTAACCAGGCAAATTCAGTAAGACATTTAGACCAGGATGTTTTGGATTGAACTGTGGTCTGTTACCATCATCAGACATCATTTCTCTTATTTTAATGTCAAAAACAAAATATGCATGCAGGTTTAACTATTTCTTCTTAACTTTAATATTCTAAAATTCCAGTCTACTCAAAGTGAGATTTGGGAAAGAGCAGAAATGAAATGGCGGGTGGCATTTGGTACATGCTAGAGAAGCAGATAATATGGACTGTATTTAATCTTACTTCATTTTCTAATAATGTGAAGCATGTTGTGATTGTCTTCCCATTGGTGCTATAGGTATCTTAAGGAGACATCTTTTTGTTCCCAATTTCTCTCGTAACTGCTCCTTCTCTCAGGTCACTTGGAACAATGCTTTACAGGCAGCAGAGACACTCTAAACATCCATTTTGCTGATCACACAGACACAGAGAGTCAGTGTGAACATAGAGAGATTAAGTGAACATAGAGAGATCAACCCCTGATTTGTGAAGATAACCTAAGAACTATTGGCACAAAAGAGTGACCCCATTTAGCAAAACAAAACCAAAGAGGAATAAAGAAATTTCACACAAGCATTTATCCCTGCATCTATTTATTGAAGTTTGGTCTCATTTATGACAGTAATATTTAAGTTGTGCCAAATTTCTTCACTAATACTTTGGTGGTGATTAATGCAGGGATTTGCAAAATTAATCCAAGTCAAACCAAATCAAACACCACAGAAATATATATTCAAGGATGTGATTATTAGCCATGCAGTGACAATGAAAGCTAAGTCATTTCTAGTGTTAAACTGCAAATTTCTTTTACCAGGCATTCTCACTTTAATCAGTAGGAAACAATGAAAAAAAAAAGTGAGCTGTCATTGAGCCAGGATTTGCCTCAGAAAGCATCAAAAGGGTGGCATTTGGTGTTGGATTACCACAATCAGAGGCTCTGAAGAGTCCACAAAATCGTTCTGTTTGAGGGATGGTGAGATTCCGGAGCCAGGGGGCTTTAAACTGAACTCCATCACAGTTACTCACTTGTTGATGAACTATAGTTTCAGTGAGGTATTCTCAACCTCCAAGTTGTTACAAAACCTGCCATATAGTCAGCTTTTACTGTGCTGTAGATAATTCCGTATGGTTATCTCACGTAGTCATCAAAGAATTTTGTCACACAGACAACATGATTCCAATTTTACAGATGAGGAAAACAAGGCTCAGTGAGTTTAATTAACCTGCTCAAGTTATCACAACTACTCAGTAGTGGAACTAGAATTCAGATCTTGGTCCATTTGATATTAAACCGTGTTCTCATTAAACCATGCTGCCTCTCAAAAAGTATGAAAAATGAAGAAATAAAACCCCACAGAAAATATTAAAACTCTGATAGTATAAATAAACATAATGTCTAAACATAACTTTTCACTTTTGAGTCCTTAAAGGTGTATATTAACCCCTGTGCCCTCTTATACTCTCCAGCACCATATAGATTAATATTGAAAAGAACTGAAAGGTTTTAGAAGTTATGGTCTTCAAATAACTTATTGATAGTTCAGTTTGCATTACCTTAGACAATCTTGTCTTGGATTCAGAATTATCTTTGGGAACAAAGTCTTTAATGAGCCGAGATCGATCATAATTAGCATGTTCTGATTCATCCATGTAATCTTTATCTTTTCCTAGGGCTAGAAAAGAGAAAGAGAAAATTACATTCATTTTTATCGTTCTTCCTTTTCTCTCTCTTTTTTTTTTTTTTTAAAGATTTTATTTATTTATTTTTCCCTCCAAAGCCCCAGTAGATAGTTGTATGTCATAGCTGCACATCCTTCTAGTTGCTGTATGTGGGACGCGGCCTCAGCATGGCCGGAGAAGCGGTGCGTCGGTGCACGCCCGGGATCCGAACCCGGGCCGCCAGCAGCGGAGTGCACGCACTTAACTGCTAAGCCACGGGGCCGGCCCTTTTCTCTCTCTTTAAATGTACTATTCTCTCTTTCTTTCATGTTTTCTCACAATTTAGCCAAGTATAATTTTTATATGACCCCTCCATCCTATAAATAAGCAAAAAAATGTAATAACATGAAAGTTTCCCTGTTATTGGATTAATGCCATCTTTATGGTAACTTTCATAACAATTAAACGCATCTCTGCTAGTTAATGTACTTAAATTTTTTGAAAATAAAATTAGAATCATGCAAACTCTATTGGATACACAATCTCTTTTGAACTTGAAAATAGAGATATTTGTAAGAATTCAATAGATTCCTAAGCATTTATTTGCTTAATTAAAAACATTGATTTTGAGAATTTGTTTTCTTCAAAGTTGGAAAATTTTACACATGTGAATTTAACTGAAGGGTGTAAGAAGTCTGAGAAACCATAGAAGACATGCTAACAAACATTTCAAGAAAGATTAAAAATATTTTAGGAGATTGAAATGAAACTACAACTGCAAAAAAGGAAACAGAACATTGGAAAAATGATAATTACCATTGGAATGATAAAAGATGGTAAGACACTGAAATACAAATCACATACAAGAATGTATATGAATAATGAACAAGCCATAATCAATGTAAAAGAGTATAAAATAGGAAATATCGATAGTGGTCATAAGTATGACCAAGAACCACTGCCATACTTCACAAAATTTGTATTCCGTGTGACACAAATATCTCTTCAAATTAAAAAACAGATTCCTATATATTTAGCTTTTTAAAACAAATGAAAATGTTTTGGAGAGAGTTACTTTATTCAATATGTTAATACCTATCAAACATGAATTTTGACATGGACAACTATATACAGTGCTTTCAAGAATTCAGTCAGGTGACTTAGTATTGTAACAGGATAAAAAACAATTGTGTTTATAATTCGTGCATTAATTTCTTTTATTACTAATGCTTAAAATATGCTATAACATAATGCCATGTACAGTTAGTAGTATCAGGTTCCTAGCAGTGGTATGAACTAAGATTGGACAAGTCATATTATGTCTCAGGATGTAATTAATTGCCAATTATATTAAAATGTTCTAAGCACTTAAGGTTATACCTAGACCTCTTAATAATACCTAACACTGATTGGTGGTTAACATTTGCTGAGTATATACTAAGGGCCAGAAATTTTATATGTATTATTTCCTTCAACCCTTATAACAGCTCTATGAAGCGAGTATGATTTTACCCACATTTAATAATAAATAAGCTAACGCATACAGAAATTAAGTAGCACGCCAAACCACTAAACTAGTAAGAGGTGCATCTAGAACTGAAACACATCCGGATCTGGCTCCAAAGCTGATGTTTGTGACTATACTATAATGTTTCCCCTAGATTTAGGTAAATTACATTTCATTCACTTGTTCAACAATTACTTATTAAACATGCATGCTATGTCAGACATTCTTTTAAGACTTGGAGATATAGCAGCAAACAAAACTCTGACTTCATGGAACAAATAAGAGAAAAACAATAAACAAAAAAAATTGAAGTAAAATATGACGTATGTTTTGCGGTCAGTGCATTGGAGAAAAATACAGGAGGGAGGAAGGATGCAGGTGTCCAAGTTGGGGAAGGGGTGTTATTTTAGTTCAGAGAATCGTAGGACCATTTGAGCAAAGACCTGATGAGGTAATGCAGTAAGTTACACAGGTATACTGGAGGGAGAATGGTCCAGATGGAGAAAATGAAAAATGCAAAACCTGGACTTGCCTCAAACTGTTGTCAGATAAGTGAGAAGGAAACTGAAATTTTGGAGTTGATTTGTTGAAGAGTTACCAAAACCCTACCATGTTCAACTTGCCAGTTCCTAAGGCACAAGGTGCTTAGTGTTTCTTTTTTATCCCTCTCTTCCCCTCCTCACCCCTGCCCTCTCCCTGCCTCCCTCTTTCTCTCTCTCTGTCTCTCCATCTTTTTCTTTCTTCTGATATTAGAGAGCAAGAAAGAGATCCTTGTGTGGTTAAACAGCAATAGGTAAATGGCATATGGTATTGAGGAGCGTGCACTGGCCTGTGGTTTACAAGACATCATTTCTCATCTTAAATCTGCCACGTTCTAATTACATAATTTCCTTTCCCTGAGTCTTTATTTCCTCATCTGTAAAATATAGTTTTTTTAAAGAAAGTCTCAAAGGGTCCTCTAAGCTGTAAAGATTATTTAATTACTAATTTAATGTTTACAAAAGATAAAATGCAATTTATATTAATTAATATATTTCATTTCCCATGGAACACAAGAAACGCAACTCACAGAAGTTGTTCACTCATTTAAATTTCCTATTCCACTTACAACTTAATTTTTTAAGCAGAGGTTTTTAGGTTTTGTTTAGTTTGGTTTGAGTTTTTTCTTTTCTTTCTCTTTAATTCCTATAACAAATATTCTTGGAATAGAAACATCTTTACATCATCATCCTGCTGGAGGGAAGCTCGTTTTTGAAACTTGCCAAAGGCCACCAACTTCACTGAAGCCTTTTCAGATCTTCCGCTCCTTCTGCCCCAAGGCCCCAGTGGGAATTGATTGTTTTCTCTTCTGAATTTCATCATAATTGTGTGTTTTCCTTTTTCTCTCTTCTTTTCTTTTCCTTTCATTCTTTTTTTTTTTTTTCCCTTCCTTCCTTCCTTTCTTTTTGTGCCTCCTTTTATTTTTCTGAATTTAGACAAAACTATCCCAGGGCCCATGTTCTCTTTATAATTTTTTTTTACTTTACTACAGGGTCTAGCACAGCTTGGCTATTAGTAGATGAGTTAAGAAAAAAAAGAAAGAGAAAAAAGAAACCATACGTGTTATTTTGGAAAAGGCTGATCCTAAATGATACAATCTTAAATTTCCTTTTATTTTTAGGTATGTAGGTATGTCTGCCTTTCTTATTGTCATTTTTCTTGGAATAATACAAGGATTCTTCATTATATATTAACAACTTTCTTTTCTCCTTTTATTATTAACAAGATTGCAAATTCCTGTCATCATAATGTAAATGGCACCACTGTCTTTTTTAATGTTCATAAAATATCTCCTCGGCTTAGAAACTACAAATCACTACTCTTAGAGACTTAGTGTACGCTTTTCCTGAATATAAAAAGGTCTTAAAGTAGTTAGTATTCTTTTGTAAAATATTTGATTTTTTCTCACACTAACCTTATAAACAATACTACTTATAACTGACTTTTTTTTTTACATGAGTAGCTAATAATTATTTAATGGTTACTATGCATCAGATACCCTTTATTCATTAAATCAATACATTGAGTTGTACAGTGTATCAGAGACTATTCCAGCTTGAGGATACAGTAGGAATCACAATGAACAAAAATCCTTACCCTTGTGAAGTTGAAGCGACAGAATTAAGGAAAGAAGAAATATACCACTTATGTATTAGAAGGTGATGTGATCAATAGAGAAAAATGAAGGAGGGCCGGGAGATAAGGAGTATGGGAAGGGCCTAGATTTGCAATTTTAAATAAAGTGGTTAAGGATGGGCCTCCCTAAGGTAACACTGGAGCAACGATGCCAAATGTGTAAGTGAACCTCTGTTGGAAGAGCATCTCAGTCAAAGGGTACAGCAAGTACAAAGGCCCTGAGGTGGGAGCATGCCTGCCTTCTCTGTTCAGACAAGATCAGTGCAGCTGGTGAGGATGGAGCACGGGTGAGAGCAGCAGGATATCACGGTAGGGGGGTAATGGAGGAGGTACCAGCATCTCAGGGAGGGCTGTGGACCTTCACAAAGATTTTGGTTTTCATTCTGAATTAAACAGAGCGACACTGAATGAATTTGAGCATAGGAGTGACATCATCTCTCTTAGATTTTAACAAAATCCCTCTGGCTGCTGAGATGAGAATAGGCTAACGGAGCCAAGGGGAAAGGCAGAGAGGCTAGTTGAGAGCTACTGCAATAATCAGGGCAAGAGGATGTGGTTTGGATCAGGGTGGTAGCGAGACCGAGAAATGGTCAGATTGAGGATGTATTTTTAAGGGAAAACCAACAGAATTCTATTGGATATGGTTTATGACAGAAAGAAGTTAAAAATAATCCTAATGTTTTGGGCTCGAGCAGCAAGAAGGGTGCCGTTTTTCATACATCATTTTATTAAATCCTTAAAAAGTATTGTTACTGCCTCCCCTCCATTACCAATAGGGAAACTTAGGCAGTTACCTAGGATCTCACATTTGGTGTGTGGCAGAATTACAGCCCAGGAAATTTGGCTCTTAAACCTTTCATTCCCAGCTACTATGTAATACTGCCTCTTGTAGTATTGGAGAGAGAATGATTTTGGAAACTTGGAAGTGACAAAATATTCACAAATGAACAAAAAGTAACTAGGTTATAAAAAATTGTAATATATTTGTTAAATGAAAAAGCATGGAATCTCTAGATTATAAACATAGCTCTCTATCCTCCTGAAGTTGACAATGATGGAAATAAATATTAATATCCCAATAGATAAAGATAGGGACTATCAATAGACAAGTAATAAAAGGTGAGACAAATTTAGTAAAAACATATTTATTTTTATGTGGTTTAATATTCTCTGTGACCAAGAACTTAAAATAAAAAATAGTACTATTTTATATGCTAGTACATAAATTTTTTTTGCATCTTTTGTTTTTAATAAAAATACCCATTGGTGGCAAGATGCTAGGGAAACCGATATAGTCATTTATTTTCTGTACCAACATAAATTAGTAAAACT